TGTGCTGTGTCAACACAGGGTGACCATTTGGCGAAACAATGGGTCAAGACTTTTCAGCTTAATTGTTCTRATGATGGGAAGACTTATCATCCATACAAGGAGAATGGCAACACACAACAGGTCAGAGGGCGCAATAAAATCTTTTGAATTTTTGTCAAATTCCTTGATAGCTTTTGAGGAACCTTTCTTACGCGGCAGCCATGATGACTGGAACAACAGCTTTACCGCGCGTGACCTCGAATTCAAGCGTTTCGGGGCGAGGTAATTCCGTGGGGTTAAACAAATTGTATTCTCCGTCATGGCAATATATATGGCGCCGTTTGTTGAAGCCTGCGACTCAGGCTTGCTTCTCGCTTTTTCTTGTCATTTGACTTCTGCCCATCCAAATCCCAACGGTCTGAATTAGTTTTGAATTCTTGATCGTCGGAAGGCAAAACTCTTGACGTCTGAAAGGTAAAGAGGTTCCAAAGACTGAAATTTGAAAATCGTCTCAAAGTATTTCAATTTATTGTTGACACATTTCTAGACATTATATGGTAACGTGGATGGAGTTGGAATCGTCAAGCAGATTCTTTATCGAGGAATCATTGCCAGAAATCTACGTATCCTACCCATAATGCACCACGGAGCTGTTTGTATGAGAGCTGAGATATATGGAATACGAATACAGTCAGGTAAGATAAAAACACCTTATAGTTATCTTGAGAGATGGAACCGCCCTCTTTTCCTTGAGTGAATGCTTACTTATTTCAAACCATGTGTTATTTTCTTGAGAATAAACTAATTGTTTGTTTGAGTTGTACGTATTCATATTCATGTTTCTTCTCATACGCAACCCCGCCTTTAACATAAACCGTTATAGAAATAAGGCCTTTTTCAACAACAGGTGACGTGACCCTACCGAAGCTTTTCCATCCAACACATTTTTTTATACAAATTTTTATTAATTAATATTCGATTTTGTATTTAATACTATTTCTCCTTTGTTACATGTTATAAGCTGAAATTTCGCGTTCTTTTTAATATCAAAGTGCTCTTTTCATTTTGACACGACGTAACTTCTTAAGGGTAGGGTCAAGTGACCTGCTGTTGCAAAAGGCCTATTATATTCTAGGGAATGGGTGGTGGTCGGAAATGGGAAAACTTTACGTCCTGAAGCTAAGGAGGTATGTTGTGACTGCAATATTGGGATTCATAATGATTAATATATTATCTACTATCTGTATTTCTCAGCCTCTAAAGTAAACTACGCCTACAATAAAGCAGCAACGCAGTCCAGTTTAGGACATGTGTATGGAAATGCGAGACATGCAGTTGATGGGAATCGTAATCCAGTATATGTTTCTGGTAAAAGCTGCACCCACACCTATTATGAGAACGGAGCCTGGTGGATGGTTGATCTTGGTCATAGTGTACCTGTATATGAGGTGTTCATTGTTAATAGGAAAGCTTGCCACGAGAGACTGCACGACTTTCTAATTCTTATTGGTAAATAATTCCATTAAATATTAAATTTGAAAAATAAGGATTCACAAGAGAGCTACTAACTGATGTAAGCATTTTCTTTTTGAAACACAACCTGCATTTTTGTTGAATAGCGTCGTGATGTTGTCAGCCAAGGTGGCATTCACGCATAGAGCTGATCGATGAGGGTAGCTATTCACAAATTCATAGTTTTTTTCGTAAAAATTGGTACTCTATTCAAATAAGACATCGAGTTCGGGAAGCGAACGCGGTTCGCCTTGGTTAAAGGCGAGCGCTATCACCGCTACGCCACTCGTGCTTCTCTAGGACAATAGAGAAGGACGAGGACAGTAGCTGTGTTAATGTCATTATATAAAATAATTAATAACACGAATATCTTTTATTTCTAGGTGGGAGTTCAAACAATGGTGGTAAATCAAATCCTGTTTGTAACAATGTGAAGGGCCCACTGCCGTCTGGGATTGGAACGTCTATCTACTGCCATCAAAGCATGATGGGACGGTTCTTGACTATCACGTTTGACAATCATGCGGGATACCTCACATTATGTGAAGTTGAAGTTTACACTGAAGGTAATGAACTACACAATAGATTTGTCACAGGGAAGTTCCAGAGGAGTCTCAAGAAACGATTTCTGAGATGCGCGAGCGCTTTTATAAATATATTGCAGGCGCATACAAACGAGGCATTTCCGAGCAGTGTTCATAGGAAATCATAGAGTTATAGGCAATTTCTACGATTCATTGGTTTTGCCTGAAGTGAGCTATTTCGTTTTAAACAATTATAATCCTGCTTCTGAAGTTAAATAAGCCTTAAGGTGCTGACACACTGTGCAACATTGCACGCAACATTGCAAGCAACAAATTTGAATCGGAGTAACACACATTGCAACAAAATATCGCAACATCGCTTGTGTCAGCCTGCTATGTTAAGATATTTGGTCAGCAGTTATAGATTTGGTGCTAGCTGATTGGCTGGAAATTTCGAAATATTGCAGGTAATGTTGTAGCCATGTTCACATGATGAAATTTGTTGCGCGCAATGTTGCAAGAGAAGAGAGCGACTCAACTTCAGATTCGTTGCATGCAACGTTGCGTGGAACAAGTTTGGGGTTGACACACGCTGCAACAGTCTTTTTGCGTGCAATTTTGCATGCAATGTTGCACCGTGTGTCAGCACCTTTAAAGTATTCCTTCATTAACATAATCTCAAAGTTTTTTGTATGTGTTTTCTATAGTGCGCGTAAGATGTTGCCCGAAAATGCCTCGTTTTCGAATCAGAGGACGAGATACTTTTCTGACAGCATAATAAACACTTTTTTCCTTCAATTAATAGAAACTATAAAATATTTATAGTAAACGCAGTTTTAAAAGTACATACAATTCTTTTTAGTTTATATGGAATTAGCCATTGGTATATCCAATAGCAGCGCCGTGCCAGACAACAGAATGTCAGCGAGTTCTATTTATAGTAACGCGAGAACTGCGGCCAAAGCCAGGCTCCTTGGTAACAGCTCATGGAGACCAAGTGACGATGATACCAACCCATGGTTACAAATAGACCTTGCAGAGATTTACTACGTGTGTGCTGTGGCTACACAAGGTGATCCAAGCGGTGACGACATTACAGTAAAATACAGAGTTAAAGGATCTATAGATAATCTACGATGGGTGCCTGTAGAAAGCAAAACTTTGGAAAAGGAAATGGTAAATCATTTGAGCCAAAAAAATATCAATAATATACAATTACTGATGGATCAACTTAAAACACTATTAACAAAACAGTCTACAATTGTATTGCCCGTCTTTGCGATCGGAAACCATTACATGTCCAGATATATTGCTAAACATGGAGTTTGTGAGGTTTGAATCATCAGCGGATATACAGCACTTTATCTTAAAAATTATGGCATTTTAAAACATTGGACTGGGAAGGAGGGGGAGGATAGAAATACAACCCTTTGGTTCTCCTGTAACTTTATTTCTCGATGTGTTCAGGTTTTTACTGGTAACGAAAATAATTCAACAAGCATCGTCAAGCATTCCTTGCCAAGTCCTCTAGCAGCTAGATTTGTACGGTTCTATCCTTTAGAAAAGATTGAAGCATACGCCCTTAGAGTGGAAATATATGGTGTTACCAAAGAACCAGGTACGCATGTTGAGTTTTTTTTTGAAAGTGCAGATACAAGATTCTGAGTTGAGATTTGGGRGTAGGAAGTGGGGTGGGCCGGGGTAGGAATCACTTCAGTAACAAATTTCTATCACTTGAAATATTCYCAGAATGTTATACTTCCTACGTGTACATTATATAGGAATGTGAATAAACCCAGTAAATGACCCCTCGTCACGAGTCTTTCCTATAGCTCCTCAGTGGTAGAACATGCGACCGGTATCCGGAAGGTCATGGGCTCGATTCCTATCAGGGACTCTGATTTTTTCCCAAGTTTCTTTTAGCTAGAGACAAATGATGAATAATTTCTATTTCCTGATTTTTAAATAAAATTTTAGGCAAAATTCTAGGTTGTGGTGGTGGGAATTCACGGACTCCCATGAAACGTTCCCCTGTTCCCTGCTTTTCAAACATAAGCAAACATTCTAATAAAGCCTTTTTGTACTTTTTGTTAGCTCCACCAATACCACCACCGATAGGGAACAAAGAACTGCATCCCAGTCACGGTTCGCATGCAGACTTGGTTTGCAGAGCAGAAAGAGGACTGAGCATCAAATGGTACCATAACGATACAGACATTACAAGTTACTCTATCGGTTCAGTAAGAACAGGATCAATACTCATATCAACARTACRTGTAAACTACACATCAGCTGATGATGTTTATGACAAATATTCTTGTGACAAAGCGCTAAGACACTGTACCAGTTTGGACTACATTTGTCAAGTGGATTATGGTTCATACAGAAAATTGCAGAGCAGAGGAAGCATCTCAACATTATTAGGTATGTATTTTGCTTTTTTAATTTCTAGCTTTCAAAAAAAACCTTTCCAAAGCATCATAGTAATGTAGGTGAAGCAAAGCCGATTTCCTCCCTCCGTACAACACAACATGTACATGTGAGTTGAATGTGGTATGTGTGTGAGTGTGAACGTGGGGACACTATAATTGGGACCTGGTTCCCCTTGTCTCCTCCTGGGTTTCCCCCGAAAAAGGATTAAAATTTGTTTCAGTCAAGACTTAGGGTAGGTCTGTTGGATTTCAAAGTTGTAAATTATTTACGTCAAAGTTGGTTTGTTATATACTTGATGCTGAAATGATCCTAACAYTAAGTAAATAACCTATTATAGAGTCTTTGCACCAATTATGACAAGAAGCTGCGAGTATTGAGTCTGTTCAAATCTGATTTACATGAGAACTAATAGACCTCTGTACCTTCGTTGTTTGTTGTCCCATTTTCGAGACCATGTGATGCCACTCTTGGGAGTTGATTCTTTTATATGTACATATTTTAAATGCTCATCATAAAAGAACTCTTYTCAGGAGAAAATCACKTGGTCTGAAATGCGCAATTTGCAGGTAAAGAGGTCTATTCAGTTTCCCTAGGGAAAACACCTTATTGTTGTTCCTTTTGTCATTGCTGCCATCACGTGATGTTGCAAAGCCTCTATAATGGGATCAGCAGACGAAAGTTGATTTCTCTGTTTTTCTACAAAACGTAGTGCCCACGAGACCAAGACATCTTAACGCCACAATCAACCCTCAACGTGGGACCCAAAGACCAACTGTAACGTTGAAGTGGGAGAAACCAATGAGAGCAATTGGCAAAATAACAAGCTATACCCTATTCTATAACTACGTCATTGATAATAAAAGCAATATGCCGTCAATGGCCATTACCGATTTTACAACCATGAGCTACACGATTAAAGTCATTGGTGGAGCACGTTTTGGATTCTATTTGAAAGCGAAGGCMAATGRTCTTATTGGAGATCCYTCTCAAACGTGGACTGCAMACATTCAGGAATGTAGTAAGTATTGTAAATTCTTARAGCAGYTTTCATATGACTGTRGAAAAAAAGTTGGTGCTGTATAYACGTRCCTTGCCGTGACCGTGATGTTTTCTAGAATTTTGATTGAGTGTCCACSCCGTGTTTATGYCGTGATTTGATGGAGAATTCTAGTGTAATGTGATTGGGCTGTCGTACGCCTTGCGGTGTCACAACCGTGTTCGTGCTGTGAGGTTTTCAYGGTCATACGAAAACAGCTCTAGTCTATTCTTCTATRACATGGCTCATTTACAGATTGAATTGGAATTTAGCGTGTTAGGTTTTGCAGAGGTAGGAAAATCGGAAAATYTGGAGAAAAACCMACGAATCTAGGGAAACACCTAACATGCAAACTCCACTCGCATGTTGGCGAGTCCAGGAATCTAATCCGACAACCTAGAGGTGGGAGGTGAGATACGAGTGCACTATCGTAAGCCACCCTTGATTCCCTCGAAGGGTTCTAGCCCTAGCGCAGACCCGGATCATGTGAGTTGAGTTTGTTTGATGTGTTGTTCTCTAATGTGCTACGAGGGTTTTTTCTCCAGGTTCTATGGCTTCCTCCCTCCGAAAAATTCAACATATGAGTTGAGTGTTGTATATCGTTAATRCAGAATGTAGTAGTAGTGCGTGTGCAGCGAAGCTCACGGAAGAGCCCCGTACAGAGAGTGATAGTTGTTAAAAATAGTTTTTAGATAACATTAGGTACGAAAGATATCTTGAACTCAGTGCAGTATCTGCATGTGGTAAGAGTTATGCAAAGGTAAGATTACAAAGAAATACTCACTCTTATTTTCACTACGCTCAAAACAGAACCGTCATCTGCTCCAGCAAACATCAAAGTGACTATGTCCGACAAGGGAAAATACAACGTGTCATGGGAAGAAATACCTAGAGAGCTAAGCAATGGTAAGATTATTGCCTTCGAGGTAAATTGGTCTTCCTTGGCTAGACGAATACGTCGATCACCTGTCGTATCTCGTGCAGCTAATGCTAGCGAGTCACCATACATACTGGTGAACATAAGCCTTACAGACAACATGAAGTACAACATCACTGTACGAGGATACACCATTGCAGGTCCTGGCCCATTTAGCGATCCTATAGTCCTTAAAAAAGGTAAAGTATATATTCATAAGAGGCCAATGAACTACTTCGACGATACGGCGGCCATCTTGCCAGTGGGCGAAACAAAACAGATATGACAAAAATTATATAGAGTTTGGTGTGTTTGTCTTTCTTTTATGGGTAAATGTGTTGTATTTTCTTGTGGTGAGCTGTTAATATCAATCGACGTCATTACTGTAACAAAACTTTGTTTCCCCTCTGGGCTACCAATAATGCCTTGGGATCCAAGGTGTCCGCCATATAGTGGAAGTAGTCCATTAACAGTATAACCTTTATTAATGATGGTAGCACAACTTACACAGCTAGRCATTGAAATGGGCGACCGTATACATCAACGATTTGGCACGAACGTTCACGCCAAAATTATAGGGACTCCATCGGTATATGCTATCGCCGAAAGCGATTTAGTAAACCAATTCTTTTGACTTTTTTCTCTTAATGTGGCTTCCGTATTCATATTTCCTGACCGCATTTCTGGCTTAAATAAAAAAATGCAACATGCAACATGCAACATGCAACATGCGGCATGCGACATGCAACACGCAACACGCAACATGAGACATGAGACAAAACCTTCACCAACCTTTTTTGAAGCAGCTGTAATATTCTACTTAACTGACTGTGAAGGTCTCTCATCTTTTTTTGTAGAGAAAGCGGAAGAAAGTAAGTAGGATGATCAAGTATCTGATTTAGTCGTAGTGGTTGCTGTTGTTTTCTCTTTACTCTTCGTCCTAGCCGTTGTGTTGATCGTCGTTATTTTCTGGTATAAAAAGTAAGCGTTCACAATTATTTTCTTTTACCCGCTGCCAACCCATACTTCATACTTTTCTTCGAGCTAGAAATATACGTATTTCAMAAATACTATACTCAAATGAAGAASAAGGGTAGAATCTCATGGAATGAAAAAGAATCACTTCATTCCAGCTGTAAAAGGATTTATAGTCAGCCTTCATGCCATAGGGTAATCTATGCCTTCATATCGTTCGAGTCATTTATCYATTGTTTTATTTTTTGAAGACATAAAGGCGAAGATATAGTAATATATGGACGAACTATTTTTGGAGGGTCTAACAAAGATACCCCTCATGAGGACAACCTCGGAGCACAAGAAACAATCTACCTAGTTCCCGTCGGTAAGCAATGATTTGCAGCCTTGATTAAGTAAGGCTATTTATRAATTTGTTTTGATGTATACGCTAATCACGTTGACAAATGGCTCATAGATTTCCATTGACTGTCCTCTTATTGATCATAGATGACGTCTTAACATGTTCAAAACTCAAGTGTAATCACGAGCACATACAACGAATGGTTTTAATYTATACTGAAACCATGCCTTTTTAATGCGTCTTTCTTTTCTCTTCGAATTTAGATGGGCATAAGCAAAATGAAAAGCAGAATGAGGGAAACATAGAAATGGTAGAAGTAGAGGGCGATGCTATTTATGAGAATAAGACAGAAAAAATCGGTATCCATCAGTTTCCAGACTTTATGAACCGAGCTAGAAAGAAGAAACATGAACTACTGGTGCACCAATTCAAGGTTGGCATCAATATTTAGTAAAATGTGAAGCGTTATGTGTCCATGCTCCGGTCTATTTAACTCTTGCCGTAAAGTATATGCAGCGTGCAACATGCAGCATGCAACATTGCAACATGCAGCATGCAACATCGCAACATGCAACATTGCAACATGCAACATTGCAACATTGCAACATGCAACATGCAACATGCAACATGCAACATGCAACATGCAACAAAACCTTCACAAACCTGTTTTAAAATAGCTGTATATGTGATAATAATATTCTACATGGTTTATCTATTTTAGCTATTACCACAAGGTCGCCTGTACCCTTGCACTGTTGCAATGAAACCGATCAACAAATCTAAAAATCGCTATGGCAATATCATCCCATGTACGTATCGCAATAGACATCTTACARYACGTAATGCAGCTCCGTTTGGAGGACATAACAATATGTTTCCAATTAACAGGATATCAGGAAATCGAAATTATTTTGTTTTGTTCTTCAAATTGAGCTGATTTGACGTAGCATGCAAGGGGTCTATAATATATCCCACGTTTATAAGCTTTAACAGAGATCAGCTGATGTAGTGCTGTATCTGAGAACATGCNTCACGTTGACAAATGGCTCATAGATTTCCATTGACTGTCCTCTTATTGATCATAGATGACGTCTTAACATGTTCAAAACTCAAGTGTAATCACGAGCACATACAACGAATGGTTTTAATTTATACTGAAACCATGCCTTTTTAATGCGTCTTTCTTTTCTCTTCAAATTTAGATGGGCATAAGAAAAATGAAAAGCAGAAGGAGGGAAACATAGAAATGGTAGAAGTAGAGTGCGATGCTATTTATGAGAATAAGACAGAAAAAATCGGTATCCATCAGTTTCCAGACTTTATGAACCGAGCTAGAAAGAAGGAACATGAACTACTGGTGCACCAATTCAAGGTTGGCATCAATACTTAGTAAAATGTGAAACGTTATGTGTCCATGCTCCGGTCTATTTAACTCTTGCCGTAAAGTATATGCAGCGTGCAACATGCAACATTGCAACATGCAACATGCAACATGCAACATGCAACATGCAACATGCAACATGGCAACATGCAACATGCAACAAAACCTTCACAAACCTGTTTTAAAATAGCTGTATATGTGATAATAATATTCTTCATGGTTTATCTATTTTAGATATTACCACAAGGTCGTCTGTACCCTTGCACTGTTGCCATGAAACCGATCAACAAATCTAAAAATCGCTATGGCAATATCATCCCATGTAAGTATTGCAATAGACATCTTACAGCACGTAATGCAGCTCCATTTGGAGGACATAACAATATGTTTCCAATTAACAGGATATCAGGAAATCGAAATTATTTTGTTTTGTTCTTCGAATTGAGCTGATTTGGCGTAGCATGCAAGGGGTCTATAATACATCCCACGTTTCTAAGTTTTAACAGCGATGCTGATGTAATGCTGTATTTGAGAACATGCTGCTTTGTTTTCAGATGATAACTCGAGAGTCGTTCTGGAAAAGCTGGAGGGAGACGAAGATTCAGATTACATCAATGCAAGCTACATACGGGTATGATCACAGAAAGATATCTCCTTAGTTGGAATACATGCTTAATATTCGGGAATTGTGTTGTTGAATAAATTCTCTAGACAGGCCTGGCTAGGGTACTTGGGTATATGGATAATGCAGGGCATTTCTAACCCCGGGGTTCGGCATCCTCGACAACATATATCTGATTTATGAGCATAAAGAATCTCGTTTTTGGAATTTACGGGATCCCAATTGTTCCTCAAATTCTTAGTATAAAGGTTTCATAGAGGGAAAAYATCTTGTATATTGGTACGTATCTCGGCAACCCCTGGCCGGGTCTGTTTAGCGTAGATTTTATAAAACAGTGTAAATTAGTTTGATTATGCTGTCCGATATTTTACATGATACAATGTGCCCATTAACATATACACAAAAACGTATATTACTAAGTATCAATATAGCTCTTCACTTCACTTTGCTATTCAGGGATACGACTGTAAGCAGATATCCTACATTGCAACTCAAGGTAGGCAATGTAAAACTTTGAAATATTTTTATTTCTCAATGCATCCCCCAATGATAGAGCTCAAATAATGTGTATCAATTTTTGTGTGTCCTAATAGGCCCTGTCTCTCAAACTGTTGATGATTTTTGGCGAATGATTTGGCAGGAAAAAACCTCAGTAATTGTCATGTTAACAGGCATCAGAGAACACAATAAGGTAAAAAAAATCCGATAGTGTACTGTCTTGGTATATACGATGCATTTGGCGTATTTCTTGGGAACTAACCACCCTTCGTCTCCTACCCCTTTTCCATTGAAAATGAAAAAGGAAGAAAATAATAACCCACATATATTAGGTAAGAATATTTTAGAAGGGTCGAAAGCATTATTTTTGAAGATATACGGTAAGGAGTGACTACTCCCCACACCTGTTGGGAATTTATGCTATTCCGATGAGCATTCATTCCACATTACTTTCTTTACAGCAATAGCAAAAGCATGAGCAAAATAAATTGACCTTGTTTTCTTACAGACAAAATGCGAAAAGTATTGGCCAGAGAATAGCAARACGTACCAGGACCTATCTGTACATCTACAAGAGACTGAAGTATTTGCTGACTACTCCATCCGCACTTTTGTAGCATCCAAGGTAGCCGAAGCAAATATCCCCCTTTCTTATTAAATAATTATAATAGAGAATTCTTTTCGTATTCAAGCAGTGAACGCCAAAGCTATTTTCTT